AGAGAGTTATTTAACAACTTATATGAAGAAATATAGGCTTACATTTATATCTTTGGGATGGTATCTCATTTTGTTTGGCACAGATTTATGATATTATAAAGACTTGATAAATCCAGGTTCTGATTATAGTGCTCCAAGTGTTGTTTATCCTGCTTAACCTCCTGATCACAGGTCATATCCACTGTTGAGAGACTTCTATTGAAAAAAAAAAAACAAAACCTCCTATGAAATTTGAAAGAAACTTTTCTTGGTGGTTTTTGACCTTTTCAGATCACCATGAAAAATTATATGAAAATATTTTAAAATTGTACCTATGTTATACTAGCTTGTACTTCTAAAACAGGACAAGCATTGCTCTACAACACAAGCTAACTCAAGATACCTTTCTTGGTGTAAAATTCTGAGAGAAAGACCCCCTTTTCTTAATTCCAAGAAGTCTGTAAGTGAACCAAAACATTGAAGAAAAAGCTATTTTTGAGTCACTGAGTTTTCATTTTCACTGAGTTTTTAAAATTATTTAAAATTAAATTATTCTGCATTTTTTGTTGAAGAGAAATACTATAGACATTCAACCAGAGATTGTTCTGGCAGGGAGAAATGGTTGTGCTTGAGAACTTGTATCCTTGTGATTATGGTTTTGGAATTGTCTTTCTGCTTTCCCTTCATCCACACTTCTTTAGAGCTGGTAAATGCCATCAGAATCTACCAGGTTGTTATTTATAAAAATCAGAATAATATGGAAAAATCTCTGTTGGCTGTGGCAGTTCCAGCTTCCTCATCTTTCCTAATTCCAGCGACTGCAGTCAGGTTTTTCCTTTAATAGCAAAAGGGCTGAATTTCAGGGACAGCATCTCACTGTGATGAACTTGGCTTATCTTCCTGTTTTATTCAGTAATATACAGAGACTGGGGGAGATTAAAACAGCTGCTCTCATTCACCATCTTCTATTTCCCATTTCTTTTTTTTCTCTTTCTGTTTCTCTTTATTTCTAACTTTCATATTTAATTCATGGCTAACACAGTAGCAGCATAATAAATTCAATCCTCACTCTTTTCTCACTTATGCTTTCAGTCCAGGAGGCACATTTCACTTGGTATAATCTTTTTTGTGCTTTATTACACACATGAATTTGGTTTTGGATAGATACTGATTTTTATCAAAACTATGTAACCTGTGACATGCATGCTGTTACATGTAACCCTACAAGATGTATTAAAGTATTTTTAGTTGAAGAAAAATATCCTAAAACTTTTCCAGGAATTGAGTTTATTTGCCTAGATAAATGAAAATAACATGGGTGTCTTTTCTGGTTTTCAGGAACAGCTTCTCTTTTCCACCAAGAACTGCCCAAAAGTCAATTTTAATTTCAATGTCATTTACCACTGAAATGAAACCTCTTTTAAGAATTCAATTATTTGACTTATGTTGCTCTGAAATAGAGCTATAATAGAGTGCATGTACAAACTATATCTCAAGCATTAATTTTTATTTGATTTCTCAAATCAGTTTCATAGATTTTACTAGGTTAACAAGAGAAGAGGTCCTCACGACAGGTAACTCTGCCATGCTCTTCTCCTCAGGTGACATTTTAAAAGTTACTCAGTTGTAGCTGGAGTTACACTTGCTCCAAGTGCCACTGTGATTATTTAAACCTAACAAAAGTAATATAAATAACACATTAATTTCACAAGTGGATAGGTCACATCCACAGGTTACATCCAAGCAAACATCCACATCTGTCTGATGAGAAAGTAGGTCTGGAGGGTACAATTTCAATTAAAAATTGAGTTAAAATTATTAGCTAAAATAGATGCAACTGGATATTTCAGAAAACATTAGGATAAAAAACCCAGTGACACAACCACAGCCATTGTAATTTTAATAATTAGAATTGGTACGTTTGACAGTAATTTCCCATGCAAGGGAAATATTTTAAGAATGTGTTCAATCAAAATACTGTTTTCTAAAGGAATAATATTCATGGCTTTTTTCTAAATAGGAATTGATAAATATATGCCCATAAGCCACAAGACATACTAAATAGTGCTTGCTGCATGTTTTTATTAACTCCAGTACTGAATGAGTTCTCAGATCAGATATTCTCTGATGCTGAGACAAAGCAAGAAACTCAATTTACTCTCCAAAATCAGTCTAGTCAGACGTAAGAACAGGTGGCTGAAGAAGGACAAATAAAAATGCATTTTTCCATTAATCAACAAATTTGAGTTTTGCTGAAATGCTGAATCTGAATGGGTTTTCCTATGCTTTCCTGCAAATATTCTTCTGCCTAAGCTTCCCTCATGAGTCAATGTTGGCAATTCCTGCTGAGCATATCAAAGCCCTGAGTTAGTTTATAATTATCTTTTCCTGTTTTCTTTGCACATGAGGAGAAGAAGTCATATTTATTTTGCTGTGCTGGATGAACTTCTTACAAAGGCTTCTGCTAGTGGTTTCTAATTTGGTTGCATATTTTTACACTCCCTTTTTTCCCCAAAAAACATAATTGTATTTAAAGTAGAATTCATGAAGAAAAAAAAATATCCATTTAGATAATTTTCACAAAGGATGGCTTAAATTTGAGAGTTGTGTGAGGCATCTGGAACATGGACAGATGAGGTCACCCACTATCCAGACCAAAACGTCTTCAGTTTGTTCTGAAAATCTTGGTATTTTAAGGCATAGTGGTAGTAGTATTCCCTTTTTGATACAGCACAGGCAATTTACCTTAGTTACCTTTGTTAACTCCTGTTAGGGCAGCAGGCTTTCAGGTCTTTTAGTAGTAGAAACAAAAATGTTGCTGGACTGTTAAAAATTGTTTCATGTCAGAAACTAGAACTAGAAAAAGTGCATGACCTGTTGCATGAGATATAATTAAGTTAGGAGCAGCTTGGCCATATCTGAAGCAATAGAAAGCAATTTTCTTGAGAAAGGTTGAAAAAATCCATATTGATCAGTACTAAGTAGTAAAAATTTATTGCAATGTTGTCAGTTGCCTTATTCCAAATCAATACAAATCTTACCAAAAGCTTCTTAAATGCAATAAGAATCTGACAAGGCCTTTTTGTCACAGATTAGTGTTAAAGCAATGAAAAGGCCCCCAAGGAAAAGTGTCTCTGACCAGAATGGCAGCTGTATCCCATTTCAGCAGTACTCCTTCTGGTACAGGACATCTTTATTGGCATTTTGGAACCCTGAGGAAAAGCTTAATGTTTTGTCAGTTAACTAATGCAAATGGTCAGAAATGCCTAAAGACCTCGCATTTCTGACTGGTTTTAGCAAATCATAAAAGTTGTTAGTTTTAAGAAGAAAAAGTCAATCAGCCACCTGAATAAAAATGAAAGGTTGGATATACAAGGAACTTTCTTCCTGTTTACAATTTAAAGGAAAAGCTTCCATGAAAAGCTATTTTAGTCAGAGGGCTAAGATCCCATGATAGGATATTGGAACCTGAAGCTCACACACACTGATGTGAGAGAAATACTTTCCTCATAAAAGCACTCAGAACAATTTCAACTTAACTATAATGTAGATTTAGATGTTGAAAAGCTGCCTTCCCAAAGCAGAACAATCTAATTTCAGGAAGCAGGGAAATATGACAGCACCCTCTGTACTTTTAGAACAAAGGTATTTCAGAAATTCTTATTGTACTAGTATTTGATTGATTAATTGGCAATATCAGTATTAATCCAATACTTTGGATGAAAAGAGATATTTCACTTAAAAAGTTATCATGTCCTTCTTTATTTCTGCAGAAAATGTACACAAATTCATTAAAAATTAAACCATCTAAAATTAGTGATAAGTACTTAACATTTCAAATCATGTCTTTTTCAAAGCTTGAAATGATCTCTTGATTTTACTTGGGACAGGGGACCTGAATGCCTGTAAAGGTGAAGTCACAAATAATATAAGTCATATGAAAAGGCAATGGGGTTTTTATACTAAATCATTTATAACCTGCTAAAAATTTGCAGTATTTTTATAATACATATAAATATATATATATATATATATATATATTTATAATACCTATAAATACCTTTTATACCTATAAATAGGTATTCTATTTCAGGTGTCTGTGAGAGAATATTGACTTTTAACTCAACTGACCCAAGCACTTCTAGCAGATTTCCAGATTCTCCATGTACCCAGCAAATTAATTTTCTGGGTTATTTCACATTAATTTCAGATTAAGAGAATCTGGAAATTTGCAATTTAACAAAAAGTTTTTTTGTCCTTTGTGTAAGACAGTGTTTTGCAGTAATATCATTTAACTCCTTATCTCTTTCAAAATGCACTTGCCAGGGCCCTGAGTGTGCCCTGTGAATACCATAGGTGTATTCACTTATGTTGTCAATCCACTCTTTTAGGAACAGACATTCATCTCACTTGAAAGACAGCAAATAATAGGGAGAAATTACTTCCTAAACCATCTCTTGGGTGTTTCCAATCATACAAGAGCTGCTTCTGTGCAGCTGTGCTCCAACCAAAGCTGAGGAGTTCATCTTGAATGCTTGCTCTCAACCGAGACAGAGAGGCCACTCCATTTCCTAGGTGGAGTCTAATAGAAATCACCCACCCACCAAGAAATGATAACTTGCTTTTTAGAGGAGCAGAGGGTTTACACATGGAAATAGTGGAGATCATAGAGAAAAAGTCAGCAGAGTAGAAGACAAACTCTCTGGAATGTACAGTACTTAGGAGGAGATGGAGTGAGGTGATGGAAGGATCCCTCCCAAAAGAAAACCCTCACAAAAACAAATGGAAATGGGATTAAGTAGGATAGAAATTAGCTTTTCTTTACCCTGGTGCTGATATTTTGAGCCATTTGTCTGAAAAGCTGCAGTTGAAAGACAGAAAAATTTTGGGAGGCTGGTGCATACCTCTAAGGAATGCAAACTGTTTACACAAACCCCAAACCTCTGACTGCTAACTATGAGCTTTTTAGGTGACTTGCAACAAGTGTGGAATTCCAGAACCCTTCTGAAAACTCTTCTGTGAGATTGCAGCCAGAAATGAACCAGAGGATCTTGCTTCCAATGTGAACTTAAATGTAGGAAAAAAGTGAGTTTCTGCTTGTAAGGTTGCAAAAAAATAACAACAGACCTTATATTTTCATTGGAAAGGTAGACCATGGTAGAAAGGATCAGTAATCCAGAAGAAACACAGGGACAGGCCCAACCCTGAAAATAACTGCAAAGGAAGAGTTAGCAAGATGAAAATGGAAGTGTATGGGAGATGTGGATGTAAACCAGATTGATGCAGTGGTTGACATTTGGAAAGACCTGCTACATTTACAGGGGTAAAAACAAAAGAACCAACCAAGCAACCAACAAACCAAAGCAAAAATGCAAACAAAGCAAAAAGAAAAAACTCAAAACCAAACCAGCAAACCAAAAATGAAAAAAATTTAAAAAGTCATCATTCTGACCTCTACTGTGCAAACTACCAGTGGTTTAAACTACTCAGTCTGGCTTAGCATTAGAAAAAGTCAGCAGTTACCAGTCGTGCATCAGAAACAGGAACACCCTCATATTGCCACTATATTGCAGTTTTTCAGTGCTTTTATCTTCTGCCTAAGTTGGCAGGATAAGCTATTTATTTAATTTTATACTGGGACAGAGTAGAAGAGGAAGAGTTGCCTGGTCAGACACAATTTAGATGGATGAAGGAAGTACAGGGGCTTCAATTTCAAATTCTGGTGCTAAACCAACTTTCCTTAGCTTGGTGACAGACAGATATATTATCTTGGCCTGTTTAAGCTGAAAAGCACTGCAGAAATCTGTTAAGAAAGTGACAACAAGCATTTAAAGTCTGAAATTCGGAGAATTCATCAGGCTTATAGGCCTTTGAATGTCTACATATTCACATTAAAAGAGTCAGACCTAATTTTCATTCTAAATTATATGAACAATTTACAAAGAGAAAAGCAGTTGAAAGCAATTTCTAGCATTCAGGCTGATTGTCAGGCTTTTTTATTCATCTTTTGTCATCTTTTCTTTCATAAGTGGGTAATATGTATATTTTACTAAAAAAATTCCCTTCCAGACTCAATCCTTAAGTCAAATGCTTAGGGGGAAGTGTAATGCAAATGAAGCACAAGAATTGTAGCTCTGTTTCTTGTCTTATTTTCCTTTAGCCTTCTGGAACAGAATTCCTGAAGTCAATGGCAGAACCCTCTACAGAGCTCCTTAGCTGGATTTAGAATTTCTGCTCTCAGGTAATGATGAAGTCAATGGAGAGAGTGAGACCTTGGTGTGAATTTGGGGCAAGACTGAGGCATTGGTGGGACTGGGAAGGACTTCTCAGAGAACAGTGATTGGTGAGAACAAATCCTTCCCTGCATGAATTGGGATCTGGTTTCCAGAGCTTTTTTTCTACGTTTCCAGTACATTTATGGGATATTGCACTTATTTTTTAATGTTCTCAAATGTTTCTCTGTCACCATAAAAAAAAAAATAAAAAAGAGACTTCATGTTGGTAGGTATTGTAGGTAGATACAGAGTAGAAATTAGTCTGAAAAACAGTAATTTTAACATAAATACCCCAGAACATGAGGAGAAACAGCTAAGATATGGTTTAGGAGGCTGCTTCCTCCTACCTCTCAGCTAGTGGTTGTCAGTCTTTTGAAAGCCCAGAAAGTGATTGTGAGAATGTTTATTTAAACTTTCTGGACAAGTGCAAGACTTCAAATATTTTTCTTGGTTTTCTAATGAGACACTGGGATTTCATTACCTGAATATAAATTTTTGGTTTCCTTTGAAAAATCAGCATATGGAGGCTGAATTTTATTAATTTTACTATTTGTAATGGCAGCTTCTCATTCTAACTTGTACTGAGACACACATTACCAGAGTAAAACACATTTCTTTCAAAGGTGATGAAGACAAAAATGCATTCAAAATGTTAATCCAGCCAATTTCATTACAGTCAATAGTGGATATGCAGAAATGGGCTTGGTGGGAGGATTGCAGAGACAGCTCTTTTATTGACTGTTGCTCTCATGGAACAAAACACAGAAAAGAGGATTTTTGTAAGTCATTTGTAAGGCATGACTGTCTCATTAGAAGGTTTAGTTGTGCTAAAGGCTGGATTATGGAAGCATCCTTATGTTCTGTGATGAATTAAAAAAAAGATTTGCTGTCTTGGACAATGGGAAGTCATGCACTGCAATCCTAAGTAGCATCTGCTTTGTACTTTTAAGTTACTTGCAGACTGTAAAACACATAATGGGAATCTGTTGGAAAAGAGGCAGATTTCAAGGTCCAAAATATAACAGGTAACAGCTGTTTTGGTCAGATGTTTAAACTAAAATGTGCATTTTGTTCTGGTGTTTGAGACAGCAAACAAGACCAGAATTCATGACTTAATGAACTTCATATACAGTAATTTTCTTAGAAAAACTCCTCAGCATGCAAAGCAACATTGCAAACAAACCTTATATTCCTATTATCAAGTATTCTATTTCAGGTATCTGTGAGAGAATCTTGACTTTTAACTCAACTGACCCAAGCACTTCTAGCAGATTTCCAGATTCTCCATGTACCCAGCAAATTAATTAAAATCACTTACAGATGGTTTTTATGGTTTTAATATGCATATTGTATTTTTATAAGCATCTTCTGCTATGTCTAGTACTTCAGTAGGGAAATTGGAACTCAGCCCATAGGAATGCTTTTCACATTGCTCAGATATTTTTAATTCTTCTCATCAAGCTACTATGCTGCTTTTAGCAGTCTGGTTAAGGCTTCATTCTGACCATTCTAATTTGAGCTGCTTGTCTTTAATTGACAAAGCTGTGAATGTGTTTCCCAGGGCTCTCTGTAATTTCAGAGAAACAGGAACTTGAGCATTTCACAGCGAGGCTGTTGGAGAGAGAGGCTGACTTCTCTCAGTGGTGTTTAAGGTACTGCCATTGCTTGTGAAGCCTTTGGATTTCCTCAGCACTTCTGGGGGATCCAAAAGCCTGCTGTGCACTCCATGAAGTGTCTGCTGGGTTGTACTGGGACCTTCAAAACACCCTGGACTCATGGAAAGCTTCAGGAAGGGTTGCTTCCTGCCACACAGTTTACCAAGCACCTGTGACTTTAAAGGGCATAAGATCCCAAAACTGAAAGAAAATGTGGATATTCACACAGCACCATTGCTAGTTTATCCCCCTATGATTAATGAAACATAATTCAGTGGCTAAAGTATTTCTGTACCCTTAGAAAAGGATTTCGCTGCCACATTTCATGTTTTTGCCTATCATTGACACTTTATTTTGTTGCTGCACTCAAGATGTCCAGCCTTGGCAGTGGGGAATCTGATATCTCTCCAACTTTCCTAAAACGCATCACAAAAGTCTTCAATTTAGGCTATCTTAGTCATATATTCTTCTTAGACTTGCCAACAGACAATTAGGTGGGTTATTTTCTATCATTACTATTATTTATTTCAAGAACCTCTATTTATTAATCTGAACAGGGTGAGGTAAATATTACTACCCTTTCTTTTTCTTTTCTTAAATTCCAATGGGTTTGATTTATGTATTTTCACATTTTAGATTCCTAAACTGGCAGAGTACATAGAATTTTCAAAAATAAACAGAAAGGAGTGCTTATCAGAGCCCTGCAGGTTGATCTCTACCCTTTCCCATGGTAACACTTTTTCAGCACAGTAGCAGCCAGCAGAGTAGATAATGGGGCACTTCTGAACCTGAAAATTAGATGCTCTCTGCCATGACTAAAAAAGAAAAATCCCAGACTGGAAGAATACGAAGAAAGGTGAATGAAGTTAATTCTTATTTGTATTTTTTAAATAAATGGAAGAAGGGAAGATAAAGGAATTCAGAACTTGTTTGAGAGGTATCTGCATGAACTTAGGGGACACCACCAACAGACCTACCTACTCAATTGCCTGAAAAGAGCAACACAGGCCTTTACACTTATATAATAGGTAGAAAGTTTGGTTGGATTTGCTTATTGGAAATTGGTGACTGACTAAAAGAGGAAGAGTCTCTTTCTTTCCTTTCATGTAATTCCCAAACCAGATTGTCTGAGCAGGCAAGGAATTATTTTGTATATACATTGGTGAAGGTATTGCAGTGCCTGTGTTGCCATTTCCTTGTTGCAGTGAAAACATTTGCAAATAACAATGCAATGTGTATTGAATATGTGAAGTTTTCAAAGCAGACAGCAAAAAAAAAAAAAAAAAAAAAAAGCTTATTGAAAATTCTGCAATGCAAATGAAGAAGAGTTAATTTATTAAGAAATACTGGAAGGTTCTATTTTTTTTTTTTTACTTGTTTAAATTTTAATGTGTATATATCTGTTAACAAATCAACTGATAAAAGAGAGAAAAAAGAGGAGAAAGTTCATTTGGCTTGTATTTTTTTATGTCAATTTTTCCTGTATTTTTCAGATCAATGCAGAGATGTTTTGTGCCCATAAAGTAAAATGATGAATGGATTTTCTGGCAGATTTCTGAGTAGTGTCTGCTGAAGCTGGGCAACAATGCTCCTTTTGTGATTGACAGCTGGAGCACTCCAACTCTGTCTGTTATAACACAAACATCACACTGAATCTTTCACGAATAGATGTAGTCTCCTTGCCTTTATTAGCTTTCTCATCCCATAAAGTGCAGCCAGGATAGGCATCATTCCTGTCCTTTAGAAAGCAGTAGATTAGTCCATTTCCTCATGGGGCTTTGCAAAGTCCTTCAATAGACGTGACTGGAAGAGGAAGAGGCTGAAGATGGTGGCCTAAGGGAATAAACTGCTGACTTGATAAATCTTTGGGTCTTAAGAGGTCATCTCTTGATGTCTGAAAGAAAGATTGACTTACCAGCAAATATGAGCACCAATCTTTATGGCTTTTTGAAGATTCTTTTTAAAGTAATATAGAAAACATTTGTATATGAAGTACTTATAAATTTTCTATAACTACAGAATAACAGCGCTTTCCTTTCCGAGGTCTTATTCAATTCTCATAGATTTATTTATTCTTTTTTACACTGTCTACATGCAGTCCATGAGATGTGCAGAGAATTTTAATGAGTTTTTACAATAACAAATGCAGCTGTAAGATACAAAATGAAAAAATCTGAAACTCTGTGAACTTTTGATACCTGCGACTATTCATAGACCCTGACAATCTTAAACATATCATTAATAAAAATTATGATGGTTCATATCCATTGTCCTGAGATGAAGAATAAATTATAGCTAGGAGAAGATTGAATTTACTTAATTTTCTTTTTCCAGGAGTATTTCCTAGCTTGTAAAGCCATACTTTATTTAATGCAAGAGAACCTATATATTTTTGATAGGGGATTTTTCACAAGTGTGTAACACTTATAACTACTTGAAACTGGTAAGTCCTAAAAACTCAAAGCCAGACACTTAGATATGGAAATTAATGGAGTGCATCAGGAATTAAAGGAAAAATGTGTGTCTGAAAATAATTTATTTATTATTTTATTTTTTGTTATTTTAATACATAGGTAGGACATGCAGACAAGAGAGTGTAATCTGCTCATTTTCAGGCTGTAATTTAAGAAGGATTCTTTTCCAAGACAGCCAGACCATCCTGTTGTGGAGGTTGAGAGTGTGGGTGAGAACACTGGGTTTTAAAGGAGGGACACCTCAGTGGATCTGCTGTACTCATTTCTTAGCTGACATTAAATCTGAGGGCAGGTTATGCTTTCCAGATATCTTTTGTTTCTTTAACCTGCTGCTGGAAAATTTCCTGCTGTTCCTCAGTAGCCAGAATCCACAAGAAGCCCTGGGTACTTTTGGGTATTTTATGAGTGCAGAAGGCTGTCCAGACTCTGGGAGGAATCTAAAAGTGACTTGGATTCTTGGGGGAAAATAACAAAGTGCAGCTCTGTCACAGGACACACTCAAATTCTCATAATCTGTAGCTGAATAGGGAGCTATAATCCATGGAAGTTTTCAGGTAATTTTTTGAGCTAATTTCAATTTGAACAAAGAGGGGAGAAACAGGAATGCTGCATGTGTACACCATAATTTTTTGAAAGCATGAAACATTTGTGAGCAGAATCTGTGACCTACCTCCATAAAAATATTGTTCTTAATTTCTTATTGTTAGGGTCTTACATTGTGACGTGGATTGATATTTTTTTCAAATCAAAGCTGGCACAACAAACGGTTCCATGCAGTTCTGTTTTGGTTTGGTGTGGGGTTTTTAACATCTCTCTCTTGAGAGCTCTATAATAAAAGTCCAGATTGCTGCTGTCCTCCTCTGACAGGCTGGGGGAGAAGTATTGATCTATCATGGGATGAAGTGACAACAGCAGTGACTTTTGTTTGCTCATCTCAGAAAGAAAGTACCAGAAGGCAGTGTTAGCTAATCTCCATGTTTAAGTAGGAAGAAGATGCTTGAAGAACAAAAGATGTATTTGATTATTCCTCCATTACAACTCGGGCAAGGGTGTGTTGGCATTAAAGTCACCTTGCTGAGAATAAAAACTCTCTAATTTATTGCAGCTTTATATGCACCAGGATTGAGGGAGGGATTTGGGGCCTGCTGCACAACCAAACCCAACAGTGACAGAGATGTTTTATTCACCTTTCCCACCACCTGAGGGAGGTCACAAAACATTGCAAATGGTTAGTGATAATGTACATGGTGAAAGAAAGAAAAACATAACCTTAGCTATAAAGAGTAAGGTGTTGCTTTTTTGTCATAGGGAAAGGCAGAGATTTAAATAAAAATGAAGAGAAGAGGGTGTGTTCAGGGGCATCAGTGGAAATCAGCCTTGAATAAAAACACTTCTCTCTACAAATCTTTTGGCATGACAGACTCATGCTGGGGTTTTTTAGATGAAAAGTAGCAAAATTAATTTTTAATTGGAATGTATATGATTCACAAGTACAATCTGTATTTTTTGCTCGATAGTACATTGTGTTCTGCATATACTGCCAAGGAAATTAAACAAGTATAACGTCCCCAAAGAGCAAACTGTTATGTTTAGGAGAACAGAGGTACATGAGGGGAAAGAAAAAAAATCTGTTAGTATTCAGCAGGTATAGCTGAATTGCAGCCCTTACATGTGGAGAGCAATTGCTCTGATGCATAGAGACGTCCACTTCCACATTTTATTTTACACTGAGCTGTGCCATGCCCTGTTTGGCTCCAGCTCTGCAGTGCTCTGCACATGTCTGGGTTGCTGCATTCATGCAGGCTGCAGTGGAGCCAGCCAGATCAGAACAAACTCTAAAACAGGGGCAAAAGGGAAGAACATTAAATTGGAGAATAAGCATGATAATATGTTGTGGGGTTTTGTTTTGTTTTGTTTTGTTTTTTTTTTTTTTTTTTTTTTTTTTTGTCAAAGGCAAATCCACAAAGTGTTGCTGGCTGCAGCATCACAGACTGGGATCAAGACACAAAACACACTATGGCACAAGAGCACTGCCTGCACTGCATGGTTTTCTAGATTTTTGTCCTGCTTTCTTTGCAAAAATGTTTTTGTCTGTAAAATATGTTGCTTTCTCTTTCCTGGGGAACATTTGTGAAAGGCAAGGAGAGATTCTTACCACAGCTCTTTATTGTTTTTTAAAAAGAAAAAAAATCCAGTTTGCTAGACAATATAAAGCATCTTAACTATCAGCCATCACTAAATAATAACATACCTCATCTCTTGGGCAAATTAGGGAAATTTTGTGACTGTATTCTGCTTAATCCTACTTAAATTCCTAATTACTATTTATTCTCTATTTGTAGATCTTTTACCATCTCCATGACTGATTTTAGTGGCTGGAGTCTGATCTCCAGACTTAGTAGCCTCCTCTGATTTTTAACTAAATTGAACTGAGCTTTTCATTCTATAAAAGCACAACAAAGAAAGAGGAGAAAGGAGAAAAGATCATTCTCCAGAAATCACTGATGACTTTGTTCTCCATATTTAACATAATTTTCTATTGTTTTTTTTTATAATGGCAGAGTAACTGTGCCATTAAAGTGATGTTGCATTAGGTAGATGCATAAAAATACAGACTAGGAATCATCTCTAATTGAAGAATATCATTGGAAAATTATGGTATGAATTAAACAAAGCATGATTAATTGTTCACTTGCCTGCTGACCTCTTAATGACTGTGCTGATAACTATCAGTGCACAGAGTCACTCCCTTCTTTGCAGCCTGAGAGCTTGACAGGAAAATGTGGATGCTTTCAATTGATACACACAGGAGAAGAAAAGAAAAAGAACAAAAAGAGGAAAGAAAGAGCTGTATAAAAATGTGGGAACAATGAAGCAAACAGTTGTGTCTGATAATTCTGGTCACTAATTTCCTAATATATATCCAAACTGAAGAGCAAGTAGTGAATCCTCACACCCACCAATGGATTTTAGGTAGTGTGGCTTAGGAGACACTATGAATAATAAAAATCCATTAAGAAGTTTGTGGGGTTTTCTTTTAAATTCTAATCTTTTTAGGTCTCTGAATAGCAGGAAAATGTAATCTCAATTTAGAAACACCTGCAACAAAAAGTGAGAAAGGATGAAAAATAATAGCAGTATTCAGCATCCTCAATTATAGAATGGTCTTGTATATGACTTCTTTACATCCTTTGTTTGAAAGGTGATAGGATTTAATTCTGTTCTTTGTGTGGAGAGTGCATGAAAAATTTATTTTAAGGGAGACCTTTAGGAAGCTTTACTTTAATGCTGTTAAAACTTTAACTTTGTGTGAAACAGCCTGGAATGTTAATCTTGAAATTTGCTTCAGGAAAGTGCAGCATTTTCTGAGACTGGCCTCAAAGTAGGAAAAAATTGATTCTGCAATGATTCCCTTCTACTTCTACTTTGTTTCTGAAATACTAAATGGTTGATGTAATCATTCAACCTGATGTTGTTGCAAGAGAAGGAAAATTGATCAATATATCATTATTGATCAGTTGCTTTCTGATTGGCTTAGCAAATCTGAGTGTTATTTCTATCCTCACATAGCCAATCTAGCCTATCCAGAGTTAATCTAAATAAATGTTTGTGCCTCCTAATTCACAAGGTTACAAAACAAGTAGATTATAGAAAAAGGAGCTGAACAATAGCATAAGTCCATATATATATATATATGAAAGCATGTAATATGTTCTTAAAATTGGGCATGAAATAAAATCACGTTTAAATCTCAAAACAAGGTAAGGGTGCTTTGCTTAGTCACAGTCCCAGTAGTGCAATAATCTCTCCATTCAGCTCAATTGATGCTAAGACTTTTAAAATTAGAGTTCCTAGGAACCATACACTATAACCCTGAGTATTTAGGTGTTTTCCAGTGTAGGTTCATGTAGGTGTTTTATTGAAGAAATTCTCTAACATAGATCGAAATACTTTAAAGAATTATAAAAAGGCATGTTTCAAGAGGTGCATTTAGCACAGTCCAATGAAATAATATTGGACCCATAGTCCAGGGCTTTACCTATTTTTGATGTATTCTTTTTATACTTTGTGAATCACATTGAATAAATGTTTATGATTATGTGAATGCACTTTCTCTTACC